GTCCTGGGGCGGGGCGCGGCGGGGGGGGACAGGGACGATGCTGAAGGTTTGGAACGTGCCATCGGGGCGCTCCTGACGCTGTTGGGTGCGTTGCTGTCCCACGGGAGCGGGGATGACGTAGGGGTGACGTCAGCGGCCTGGCCGGCCCTCGAGGCGGCGCGGTCGGAGCCGGGGCTCGAGGCTGCGCTGCAGCGGATCACGGCGCCGGCCGGCGGTGGCGGGAGCAACCGTGACGCGCGGCAGGGCCGACTGGCAAGCAGCGTGCTGCGGCGGCTGCAGGGGGCGCGGCGAGAAGCGCCAGAGGCAGGGGCTAGGGCGGAGCAGGCCGGTGGCGGCCGAAGCAGCAGCGCAGCGTGCGGCGCGTGCGGGGCGACGGGGGGCAAGCTGCGGCGCTGCACCGGTTGCAGCTCCGCCTTATACTGTGGGGTGAGTCATAACGAATGGGGAATTACGGGACGGATGGGATCAAATGGGGCGCTGCTCCTAGGCCAATTCGTGGACACACATGTGTGTGTGTGTCAGCGCGTGTGTGTGTGTGTGTGTGTGTGTGTGTGTGTGTGCGTGCGCGCGTGCGTCTGTGTGCGTGTGTGTGCGTGTGTGTGCGTGTGTGTGTGTGTGTGTGTGTGTGTGTGTGTGTGTGTTTTGGAGGTCCAAGAAGTGAAATGTGGAGACACCTGCCTGTGGGCCGGGGGCCGCCCCACTGACCTTGCTGGACTCGCCGCACACACTGCTGCCCCAACCGCCGGCGCCGCGCCGCACCATCCACACGCCGAGGGAGCCCCGGCGGTCGGACAAACGCAGCCCCACCCCTCGCTCGCTCACCCCCCTTGTCTGTCTTGTCGCCCGTCCGTCCGGGCCCCCCCCCCTCTCCCCCTGTAGGCCGAGTGTCAGCGGCGCCACTGGAGGGAGGGGCACAAGGAGGAGTGCAGGCGCTTGCAAGCGGAGCGCGCGGCGGCGGCGGGCCCGGGGGACGGCGACATAACCGCGGCGTCGGCGGCGGCGGCGGCGGCGGCGGCCCCGGCCCCGGCTTGAGGCAGCGAGGCGCGGGCCGCACTGGCGCCGCGAGGAGCGGCCTCAGGAGCCGCGTCGCCACCGCTCGCTGGCGCCGGAGGAGCGGGCGCGCGCAAAGTCGACACGAATCCCTGTATGGTAGCAACTATACCGTCATTCTAGGGCTATTCTTTGCCTCGCCTCAAAGAAGTGATGTTCTCGGTTTGTAAGGACATGGTGATCTTGCAGATCAGGTGATACGGTATGCAGCATCATCAGCATGCGCCATCAGTCTGGAGAGCGGGAATCACGCGCCTGGGACCACGCGGTGCCGATCAACCGGGCTGAATTGGCCATCCAGCGGGGTGGTGACGCGTGCGCAGAGCGTGATGCTTGCTTTGCTGCGATCGATGCCCTTGCCGCGCCCGAAGACGGGATGTCCTTCGCTTGCCCCCCGCCGCGCTAGCTTCCCAGCATCCGTCCCACTCCTGCATCGTGGTCATCACCCCTTGTCCACAGCCACGCGCGTTCAACGCTGCTGAGTGGCCCACTCGCGCACCAAAACGGGGCAGATGAATGATACAACATCACAACTCGTTTCAAGATCCAAACAGCACAACCATTTCTTTTGCAGGGCTGTGGTGCAGCCAAGGAACAGCGCACACCGCGCAAGCGCCCACCTCCACCCTGGATTTCACGACTGCATGCGCCGCCGTACGGTGGCACACGACAACAACCTGCTGACAAATTTAAACACCTTAGGGCGAGTGCAGATCGAATTGTTAGCACCAACCATGTCTGGAACGCCGTCAAGCAAGCAGTGACCATGAGTACAACACACACACACACACACACATACAACCACTCACACACAAACACACACACACTGCAGACCCCTTAGCTCGTGCCGACGGTCAGCCCAGCGCCGACCGTCTGGCCGCGCCGCACACCCGCAGCGCCGTGCCCTGGACGCGGCCTGTGGACCTGCATGTGCGGCGCAGCTGCAGCATGTTGCGCAGCTCGCGGGCCGCCCGCACGCGCTGCTGGGCGCGGGGGTCCACCTTTCCCGCCATGCAAGCGGCGCGGACGTCGGGCCCCGCAAGCCGCCCCAGCGGCGAGCTCGCGTCTGCTTCTTGGCTCATTTGCGGCAGCTGCTCGGCGAGCTGCTCCACCTCCTGCACAGGCCTGTGGCAAAGCGAAAGGGCAGGCGATAGTGGCAAGATTTCTGGTGCAAGGCTGGCAAGTGTGAATCAAGGTTGCACCAAGATCGCGGGGCAAACCCTCACGTGCACAGTCACCAGTGACGCCGGTTTGACTGGCAGCAGCGGACGATGATCCCGACGGCCGTTGGACCGTCTCCAGGGCGCACCCCTCACGCCGCCGCCCGAGGTGGGCGCATTCCTGGCGCAGGCGCCTCAGCATGGGCTGGGTGATGCCGCCCAGCACGTACAGGCCGCCCTCCTCCAGCTCTTCAAACGACGTCACCAGCGTGCCGGACAGGGCGCAGCTGCCGGTCGCCTGCAGCTGCTGTGGGTCAAAGACGACGAGGCCCAGCACGCGCGCCCTGCTCATCAACATCTGCATGTGAGCGCGGGTTGGGGTACCAAAGGCTCGATTTGGGGGTGCATGTCCAGAGGGGCCACAGCATGCACATGCAGTAGTGTGGTGGCACGGCATGGGGAGTGCAGCAGCGAGAATTTCAATCGTCAACGCTTGCAACAGCTCGCGGTGCACGTGCTGCGACCCTGTGGTGGCATGTGTGCGGCATGACCTGTGATCAAACGAAGGAAGAACACGCAGCCATGCCTCCCGAAGCAACGAGGTTCAGCAGTACCTCGAAGTCAGGCTCGTCCTTGAACGAGGCCCAATACGGTGCCGCTTTCTCAAGATTTGGGATGCCATCTTGTAAGATCCTGATCTTCTTCGGCTCAGGTGCCCCGCCTGCCATGGGCGTTGCAGGAACGGGGGTTGCGAGGCAGTATGGCACCATGCCACAAGTGCCGGGTGGCAAAGGGTAGATGTTGCCGCCACACAGGGGATATGCATGCAGCGTGTGTGCACATGGCCGCCAGGAAAGGAGTGCAGCCAGGTCGCCACGGCGTGTGCCATTTGTCCTGCTCCTCCTGTCATGCATGGGGGTACTACAGAAGCCAGGACTGCTGCTGCATGGATTTTTGCCTGCTGCACAAACAGCGGCTGGGCATGCGGTATCGGTGGGCTTGTCACAAGCATCACCAGACCCTGCAACATCTCACCTGCTGCCATGGATCATTCGCCCAAAATCCATGGAGGGCAGAGGCGATGAAAGGGGAAGGGTGTGACAAGAGGCAGCACAGCATGTGTGCAAACTAAACAACCCAAGGTTCCCCTCTTCCTGAGGAAACTGCGCACAACATGCTTGCTACGAAATGTGCCCCCAGCAGCGTTGTCGCCATATCATATTTGAGATTTTCATCGGGTCTTCCACTCAGGTCTGCGTTGACCACCAACCCAATTAACCCAGACCAGTGATGTCTGCTTTCACAAGCACAAACAAGCCAAAGCCCCAGCCAGCAAGTCGAATGAATTGTACATTGCACGCAAAGCGCACCTGATGCCGCTGCTCCTGCGCATTGACAGCAGCATAGCACGGAGTGGTGGATGGCAAAACGTATCACACGAGCACAGCGATGGACGCCAGCAGGTGGTGAGACACAGCGGTGTGTGCGATGGCAGGGGGGGGGCAAAGGGTGCGGCGAAAGATAGTGTCATTCAAGCAAATATCAGACAGGATGTGGGCAACGGCATGATATAGTGTGGACTGAGCGCAGCCTTCAAAGCACTGACTGCATCAGCTGTTGTACATTGTGCACAACAGACATCGATCGTACAAGGTGCGCGATGCGCACGCACGCACGCCCCTGTATTGTTCAGCTGAGCATGCAGTCTGGTGCCTGGCACTGCGATTGGCACACACCCTCGCTTATGGAAGCCACACCACTGAGTCGTACCTGACGGGGGCGGCACAACTGTGTACGTGCCTGGCGGCACACAAGATGATCCCACGTATTCCACATTGTCTCCAGCCGTGTCCCGCAAGGAGCCAGCACCCCTGCCTGTCAGAGCTGCCAACAAAGAAGATGCGGTTGCGCCACTCGCAAACCGCCTGCCATTGATATTCACTGTGGGCATCTGCAAACACACAGAGTGGACATGTGGACCTCAGGCAGGCCTATCCACCGCAGCATTGATGCCGAACGAGGTGCTCTTGCTGCACCAGATGAGATCACATCAGGTTGCCCAATTTCACTTCCACGCAGGTTGCAATGACCAACCAATTCATGCAGCCCTGCCGTTGTTGGAACCTAGCGCACTTGACTAACCCTGGAACGATTCAGGCGCCTGCAGGGAACATTGGCGAGCAGGTGTGGGCAAGCTAATCACAGGTTGGAGGCGGAACAGCGTATGGCCGATTGCTTGGGCTAATACTGGAAGCATGAGCAGGGCGCGACGACCCAGATAACTTAGCAGAACCTGTTGAATCCATGTGCAATGCGGATCTGGTCCAACACGCAAGAAGCACATCTCAAGACCAGTGGGCCTGCCGCTGACAAATCAGCGGCCCGCAACCCACCACCACGCGGCACCCAGCCTGATCCTACCTAGCAGTAAGCTTGGTGCCCGTCAGCGTACTTCAGAAATAAGCTTCAGCGCAATAAAACGAGCAAGGTTGGTCGAGAAGGCCAGGACGAGCGGCCGGAAAACTTGAGAAGGCCTAGTAGCGCTGTGCGGGTGCCCGTTGCCTGTCCCCAGGCCGCTAGTTGCGCAGTGGCATCACCCGAAGGACCAAATCAGTCCACAGCCGATTGAAGCTATCTGTTGATGCCTAGAGGTACACGTGTCAGATCGCAATCCAGAATTATGAGCTGTTTATTGTACGTGCAACTTCTAAGGGTTACAGCTCCAGACGCGTCTGCGGGCGAAGCAAAGCCAATTGGTTGCTGGAGCGCGGTCGAGGTACCGGTAAGTGATGGCATGGTTGTCACCGGCGGTAGCGTTCACATCAACATTCAGTAAACCTGCCATCATATGACAATGCATGTGCTAGTGGCTCCAGCTCTTGAAAGCCTTCACCTTGCGTTCTACATTTCAATGGTACTGTGTACTAAAGTATGTAGTCGTGCAAAGCTCTTTGACGAGTTTACTCCAAGCCGCGCCGACGGCTGGGTGCTGGTGTAGAACGAATGGCGATGAACGCTGGCTGACCTCCGACACCCTGCAAGTGCACTGCGGCGCACCCACAGAGCCTTTAGGAGCAAGATAACGCCTGGGTAAGCACGCGAAGAAGTGTAGTGTACAATACTCAGTAGGGTAGCCAGAGGAGCTGCCGACTGCCGGCGGTCCGCGGCGCGTGGCCAACAAAGGTTTGGGCCGGGGACAAGGTTTGAGGTGCAGCATGTTGCACTCCACAAATTGCCAGTCACGATTGTTACAAGATACGGTTGGTAAATCTTCAGGGCAGCAAAGCTGAATAGCAAGACCAGGTTGAGATTGCTGCGGGCCAAAAGCACGGGGAAAGCGCCCCACAGACGCATGCGAGACGGCGGGTCTGGCCGATGGGGCCGCGGGAGCCGACCCTGTGCGTTTGAGGGCGCTCATTTTTGTCAAGGGGAGGGATGCTTCGGAGCGGTGACAAACCTGAAGAATTGCCCTTATAGTGGGCGTTTGGATGCAGCGCGCTCAAGACATGGGCCTAAACATGACATCACGGTGACATAAGATACATGAAATAATTGCTTGAAGGTAGGTCCACATTTATTGAGCGGATGTGTTCTCTTGAAACAGACACACTTCAAGAAACGCTGCAATGCGCAGCGGTTGCCGGGCGGCCGCCCGGCCCGCCAGCAAGCGGGGCGGGATGGACTCCGCGACAGGCCCGTCGACAGTCACGGCGCCGCGGCCGCGCCGCCGCCCCCCCTCC